TCAACAAGAGTGAAATTATGTGTTTACATGAGACTGATGAACAACCTATGTTTGATATCCACGTTAAACAAACTGTTAAATATCTAGGAATCCATATTACAAAAGATTTAGATCTTAGACAGCAACTCAGTTTTTTTAATCCCAAAATTAAAAAGGATAGATCAATCTTAAATATATGGCTGCAGAGGGACCTCTCCATTTCTGGAAGAGTGCTACTATCCAAAGCTGAATTTGTGTCAAGGTTTGTTTATCCAGCTATGGCACTTTTTCTTAATGATGCACTCTGTAAGGAAATCAATAGATTATTTATAAATGTTGTTTGGAAAAATAGACACCATCATCTTAAGAAAGAAATTCTTAGTTTAGAAAGAGCAGAAGGAGGTCTAGAAGTTTTGAATTTCTTTCCCTTAAATTCTACCTTCACGTTTAAATGGCTTAAAAACTGTTTGGAACTACCAGAATCACTGTGGAATTTTATTCCACACAATCTATTTAAAATAGTAGGAGGCTTAAAATTTCTAATGAGCTGCAACTTCACAGTCTCTAAATTGCCACTGAAACTGTCAAAATATTATCAGCAAGCTTGGAAATTGTGTTATGTTCACAATTTTTCACCACATAAAGAAATACTTTGGAACAATGGACAAATTACTATTAAAAACAAAAGTCTATATAACGAGGGCTGGATTGGGAGAGACATAATCTTTGTCACGGCACTATTTGATAAAAATGGAAATCTTTAAAGCTATGAAAACTTCCTAGATGCTAAGGCCTTTCCAGTCAAATATAGAGGATATGTTTCCATTGTGAAGGCTATCCCATCTGGTATGACTGAGTTAATAAAAGGCCACTTAAGTTATCAAAATCTTAATGTTCAAATACCTCCACTCTTTATTGGTGGGACTGATATAATGGATAACAAATCGTTAGCCTCATAGCATAATTGCCTAAGTCATTTTTTGGTCAAATTGAGATATTTGCCTAACTTTACTCTCCTATCACTTCTGCATCATCCTGTGTTTCTACCTATGTCATTGGCCAATCACATCTGGTTGAATGTACTGTTAAAAAATCAATAACAAATACCAATGTCATTTCTAAAAATTGTGTTTTTTCTCATTTCCCAAAAACATGAAAATATGACTTTGGCAAGTATGTTATGAGGCTAACGAAATGCACAAATAAGCATGTCACGAAAATCTTACAGAGACAAAATAAGATTTCACCAAGAAGAAAATTTGTTTGGGATTCACAGTTGAGTGGAATAAACTGGCGTAGGACGTGGTTGTGTTCCTTCCAATTCTGTCTCTCAAATAAGATCAGAGAGGTTCATTTTAAAATTTTACATAATATTTACCTTTGTAATAAGTCAGTTTCCAAGTTTGCTAATGTGGATGAAATGTGCACTTTTTGTAGGAACGAGCCTGAGACAAAATTTGCGTTTGTTTTGTGTTTGCCCAATGTCTTCTGTATTTTGGAGGGACGTGGAAAAATTCATCCTTGACAAACAGAGAGTTCAGAGGCTGCTGTGGTGCTCTGGCATTGTACCAGGTTCTCCTGAGATACAACCTCCAGGACACATTTACTGAGACTGTAGCTCTGTTGAACATCCTGATAACCACTCCCATGACAACAGCTGAAGCTGAGAGGTGTTTTTCAACACTAAAAAGAATCAAGACATTCCTACGAAACACAATGAGCCAGGATCGTCTAAATGCACTGGCCATGCTTTCCATGGAGAGGGAAGTAGTCAGGAGCATGAGAGACTTCAATGAGAGAGTTATTGATCACTTTGCTGCTTTGAAAGAAAGACGAGCAAAGTTTCAATACAAATGCAGATTAGCATTCAGTATGAAGACTGAATGTTATCATTGTAATAATGTTGTGACTTTTCTGCACTTCAACTGAAAAACTCAGGGTGTGAAGTCTGATGCAGAGATCTCCAACTCCGGTCCTCATGAGCTACTGTCCTTCAGGTTTCAGACGTTTCTGTACTGCAACACACCTGACTCAAATTATGGATTATTAACAGACTTGTGTAGAACTTGACAACAAGCTGTTGGAGATCCATTTCATTTGAGTCCAGTGTGTTGCAGCAGGGAAACATCTAAAACCTGAAGGACAGTAGCTCACGAGGACCAGAGTTGGAGATCTCCAAGAAACAGGACAACAGCCATGTATGGGGTTGTTTCTCTCTCAGAAAAAACATAGTCAATTCAGTGTGAATGTTGTTTTTTTCCTCAGTCTTTTCATTGCGATATTGTTTTTATGTAAATATGTTCATTAGAGGGGCTGCAGGGTGGCGCAGTTGGTAGCACTGTCGCCTCGCAGCAAGAAGGTTGCCGGTTCGCATCCCGGTGGGGGCACTGGAATCTTTCTGCGTGGAGTTTGCATGTTCTCCCTGTGCAGCGTGGGTTCTCTCCGGCTCCCACACAGTCCAAAAACATGTTGAGGTTAATTGGTGATTCTAAATTGTCCATAGGTGTGAATATGAGTGTGCTTGGTTGTCTGTCTAAGTGTAGCCCTGTGATAGACTGGCGACCTGTCCAGGGTGTCCCCTGCCTTTGCCCTAAGTCGGCTGGGATAGACTCCAGCCCCCCCGCGGCCCTAATGAGGATTAAGCGGTGTATAGATAATGGATGGATGGGTGTTCATGCATATACTCTTTGTTATTATTATTTATTATTGCATCGATGTACACTATTGATCTTGCACTTAATGAATGTTATCTTTAATTGGAAACTGTAATAAATTGTGTTTTTTCATTATATTCAGCTCCCTTCTTAATTTAAAACTAAAGTATTTATCTCTCCATGTTTGAAGGAAATTCATGACATTTCTCCTGTTGATAGCCTATTGAATTTATCATTCACTGAAGAGCCAAAACAATTTTCTTCATGAAGACGTCATAGGCTGGGTCTGGCACATGGTATTTAGTTTACAGAGGTAAACGGAATATTTGACCGCCAGTTGAACAGGTAACTTTTGTCATAACAATTGCCCCCCCCCCGAGAAATTTCTCAGGAGCCGCCACTGAGTAGCTGTGTAATGATAACAATCTACTTTCATGTGAGGGCAAGACCAAAGATTCCACATTTTCAATACCTTAACAGCAGGACAGCAGAAAGGTATGAAGTTGTGTTTTCACCTATTCTACCTCATTCAGAAATCCTGCACTGATGTAAAATTCTAAGAGGTTACTGGGCAAAAAAAAAGGTTGTGCAATTAATATTAAATATTCCTCAAGAAAACTAATTCCTCAAATTCCTCCACTTATTGTGCCATACGCTCCTAATTGTTCCCTTGTTAAAGCATTTTAGGAGTTCAACTTGCAACACTGATCTATATGATGGGATGAATGGGTTAACAGACTGTGCAGATGGAACCATGAAAGAAGCACAGCCATATTCCCCTCTAGCTCCAGTTAAGGCCGATGTTTATTTGTTCACTCCTAGTCTCGCTCACATTGAGTCATCAGGCACCCAGTGTGCTGTAACTCTTCTTGCCTTAGATGGCCAGATCCCAGGGGAGATGTAGGAATGTGGTCTAGACACAACACATGAACATTCAGCAGTAGGCTCTCTTAGAGTGCTGCTCTCTAAACTGCCGACTGCCTCTCCAGTTTATTCTTTCAATGGTGCATTTTACACCAAGAAAGTGAATAGCATTCCAGGCTGTGCAGCTCAAATATTAATGCCGAGAAAAAAGTCTGCAGAGTTCTATAAATGTTTCAGAGCGGTATGGCCATCCCTTGCAGAAATTCTGCATCATCAAGTTTCTAACACAATGCTTATCTTAAATCAGTGGTTTATTAACAGCATCGCAGCGCCAGGGTGTTACTTTGTTTTCTCAACACGGTGCTAAATATCAAGACATCCTTAAAGCAGCAGACACACCGTGTCACAGAAAGCAGGATCACCTGCAGGTCATGGCACAGTATGGGAAAATAACCTGACAATCCTTTAATTGAAATGCAGCATTAACCCTGCCAAAGTAAGACATCTTAAGGTTGGAACCGGTTGCCCTGTGTGGAACTGACATTGCCCCATTCATGCTGTGACTGCTTCTAATTGAGTTTAAGTTCAAGTTCACTGATGCATCTACTCATTTCAGCTTATGAAAAGGGTGACTTATGTTTCTATGAGACAACACCCCAAAAGACTTATTCCATTCTCTGGAGGCATAGACAGTAGTCTGCCTAGAGCAAATTGGACAAACCCAGAGGAGTATTAACGTCACACTCACAGACAGATGGCTTTGCACATTTCAAAAGGCTTCCTTTTACTTTAAAGAAAGTGCTGTCATCGCACCAACAGGGTCATTTAGGTTAAATTTCAACTTCACTGAATGTTTTTGTCAGATTTTTAAGCAGACTCTATAATTTTGTGAACATCGAGGTCATCAGCTGCCCTCCATTTCAAGCTTTCTAGGTATGTATAGGTTTGAAAACTGGCTGCTCATTATTTGGTAGTTATATCCTTTACATTTGTCAGTTTAAATTTAAATAATTTAAAATACATTCCAAAGGTGACATGTTTTCAAAACAAAGACAAAAGTATCAAAATGTCCAAATCAACCTCCCAACCTGCTACAGCGGCTACGTTTGTGTATCCACGGTCTACAAAACTCCCTTTTTGTCTCCTATGACAAAGTTTGCTTTTGTTATTGATATGGGTAACACACAACGCTAACATGATTATAGAGCCCCAATAACCACATTGTTAGGCAATAAGCCACATTAAAATGAGCCACAATTATCCTTATAAGCATGTCGTACAAAGATGCAGACAGTGATGACTGCAGAAGTAATTTGACTCACTTCTACAGTTGTGAAAACCTGACACCACCAAATTCAACCTAACTACAGCCACTGTCACTAAACTACCTGCTTTTGACAGCCACTTTTCAGACTAAGGTGGGAGTGTGATATAAAAGAGAGACTTTGTTCAGAGAGTCGTTTCAGCATTAAAACAGTTTTACCAGCTCCAAAGACTGGATACCTTTAGGGCTTCGATGACAAGGTCCCGGGCCTCCAGCTCTCCCTCCAGGATGCTGAAAAGCATCAGCAACTCTGGCTTGGTCAAACTCTCCATGTTGAGTTTAGACTGTGAAGACAAAAGATAAAAAGGGAAGGCTTATTTTTAATATATATTTTTTTGGCTTTTGCCTTTATTTAGTGCAGTAGAGGGAGACAGGAAAGGGGGGAGAAGAATGGGGACAGACCTGCAGCAAAGGGTCGTGAGCGGGATTCGAACTCACGACCGCTGCATCGGGGAACTACAGCCCCTGTTCATGGGCCGCCCGCTCTACCAGGTGAGCTATAGGGGGGCCCGGCTTATTTTTAATGTTTGGTAGTTAGGCTCCAGCCCCCCCGCGACCCTAGTGAGGATTAAGCGGTGTATAGATAATGGATGGATGGATGGATGGATGGATGGATGTTTGGTAGTTTATATTGTTGCTGATCATAAACAACTGTCTAATCTGTACTGTAATTTAGTCTACCAGATTATTATTCAACCTCAAAAGAGAAAATGCATAGGAACTATTAATCAGTGCTTCTTATGTTTTCCCACAGCTATATAGCAATTTCTCTGTTATTTCATTTCACCTTGAAACAAAGCCACTTGTTTTCCAATTTCCCTAAATCAGACATCCAGACAGACATCTGATCTAGCTCCCTGATTTATGAGCTTTCTGTGGATATGCGGTTATTATCTTGGGAGGGGGCAATTTTGAACAGCAGACTCAGTGTGCAAAATATGTAGAGTATTTTCCTCCTGTAGTAAAAAAAAAACAGACATGTTCATTTGGGTAAAGTTCACAGGTACACTGAGTATCTGTAGCAAAATGTGATAAATGTTTAGCAATATCTCAGTGTTCAACTGAACAGTGACAGGATAGGATCTGTACAATATAATTTTGTAAGGTCTTCACCTTACTATGTGAATTACCCCGAGATTACTTACGTTGTGAATTGGTGCTAGATAAATGAAGCCGAAATGAACCGAATAGATGTGAGGTCACGGTTTTCCATTTATTTCACAAACACGGCAACAATACAAGTTGACATGGATCAAACAAAGACGGGATCACATCAAATAGGAGATTGTTCATCTTCCAGCCTCCAAACCACTGCAGCTGTAGACTAAAGCCAGCCAACTGATAATATGCATGTAACTTAAGTTTCAAATATAGAATATAGGATCGCTTTGTTTTGTTTTCTTGCTGCGTGTGCCATTCATAATGGGCAATGTGACAGTTAGTTATTTTGTGTTGGAAATGTGATGTGGTCTCTTTGTAGTGTCTCTGCGCTCTAATCTCACAGCTGTGTTGGTTCTGCTGACAAGCCCTGCAGTGTCCACATCCCAAACATCCAACCACACTCGGCCCAAGTGAATGTATGCGGGCCTCTCTTTGAAACAAGATCAAAGCTGTTGATGTTAGTACACTAAGCATCCTTTTCAGATGAGAATCATCATGCGGGACGTGTACAGTTGAGCACAATACTGACTGACTACTTAACAGACATATATTCTAGCTTGAATCAGTGAAATATTCCTTCTGTTATTTGGCTGAAGCATCAGGAACACCCCCTCCCTTCCCCCGCTGTTCCTAGGCTGTGATCCACACCTGAACCAGTATTCATTCTGAAGGCCCGTGCTCTGCTCTAAACCCTCTGTGGTCACCACAACTTTCCACATCATGAAGTCATCAGGCGAGAGTGGGCTCTTTGAGCAGAGGTTGCATAATGAGAGACAGGCGCTCTCGGCCTTTCACATCTGACCAAGAAGCTACAATATTTCCTTGTTATCTACAACAGCATGAGTAGCAAAAAAGCCTGAAAATGTCGTGAGAAACTGTGCCTCCGCATGACACTTCTGCAGGACAGTATGCAGAAGTAAGCAGACGAATGAGCCACAACCCTGGTGAACTGCACGTACAGCCTACAACGGCAGTGTCTCACAAAGAAGGCACACAGTGTTTTAGTTCTGCCTTTAGCAGCACTCATGGTCTGTGGCTTAACCACAGGGGTAAAATGCTAATTAAACTCCAGCACACACACCTCCCTTGGTTTTGGTTTACAGGCTGGCTTGCTAATTTCACAGGCCACCATAATCACTGTGAGGAGAGTGTGTGCGCGCCATGTTATGAGAACTGTCTGGACCAGTGGGAGCCTACATGTGTCATCAAACTTGTTTGGATGCTCATCATTTTAATATTATTCCACCTAATCCCCTGAGTTAGCGTTTGTAATCGGGAGAGTACACAAACATGGAGTGGTAGCATGGGAAATACAAATATTCCCACACGTTCTCCGAGCCCCACTTCCGATGACGAAAGCCCTGTGTCCATAATCCTTTTATCCGTGTTTGTTTTAAGCCCGGTCAGCCATGTGCCTCGTCTGCAACACTGTAAACTTGTGAAAAACACACAGTACCGCTTTGACTGCAAAAACATATGCTTTGCTCCAGAGCAGAGGCCCTCAATTTGTAAGTAGCTGCTTGTGACTCTGCGTGTGTACAGTGTCAGCAGGGAAAAATGAAAAAAAAAAAATCTTTTTTTTCTCATCCTAAAAAATCCACTAAATATTCCTTTTTTTTTTAGTCTTGACTTCCTAAGCTGCTAAGCTCACGTTGAATCACAGCAAGAGTCACAATGTAAACATTGCCGTTTTTCAGACTGCGATCTAATTTGATTTGATAGCTGCAAAAATAAATATGTATAATTGGAATTAAGAGCTCAAACTTGTTCAGTGGAGCCAAATATCTTATGTCTGAGACTGTAAGAAAATGTTACCAAGTTAATCAACCTCACCTTGCAGCTGCTTTTTCTGAGAAATTACAACAACAAAAAAGTAGTGCATGAATTCATGTCACAGAGTCTGGAAGCACAAACTCAAAAAAGGGGGTCAAATGAGGGAAAAGCACAGCCTAAGTCGTCTGCTAGGCTTCCTGGTTCTGTTCAGTAGGATGGATGACCAGATGCAGCATGTCTGGATACTAAATTGGATTTGTTAGCCAACCTAATTTATGTATAGGCCACTAGCTTGCTTGCTTCCTTCACTCAGCTTCCTACCTACTGTGACTTTGACGAAGCCTAGTCTTAAAATACTCGCAATAATTGCGAGTAAAGTAGCTTCTAGCTGTGAAACTGCTGTTTTGGAGTTAATTAAGGGTTAACTAACAACTGGAGCCGCTGCAAGTGAAATCAATCAGCACGACCATGAAGATCAAACGGTCATCTGACTGAAGGAGAGGATGGTGATGAGCTGAAAAGTGGTTTGATACGGATAATTATTCAGTCTTAGCGTATTTTGCACGAATAAAACACATCTTAATGTCATTTATCCAAACGGCTCGGCCTGTAGCCGTGACTTCTTTGGCTATTTTTTCTTCTTTTTTTTTTTTTCTTTGGACCAAAAGACACGATGAAAACTTGCAAATTACCCTTCCCAGCTTCACTTCGCCGACACAAAAACGTTGTCAGTGGGTTTTCTTACCTTCATGTGGCCCTCGGAGATCTTTCAAAACTCCAGCATGAACTTTTCTCCTGTCAGAAGATTTGTTTCACTTGATTTGCGTCTTCTGATCCCGACGCAGCTTAACACTGGCCGGCCAAGAACTGCTCCGAGTGACGGCAGAGCCAGCCAATAGGCGAAGAGGAGCTTCGAGTTTTGACCAATGAGAGAGAAGATTATGGAGAAGTGGGCAGAGTCTGCGGCGGTCCGCCTCCTGGATTTTGGTCGGATTTCTTTGTTTAGCGTGTCTTGGGTTCCTCCTGTTTCTTCTTAAAGAGTCTCTTACAGGCACGCAGACTTTTTTTTAATGACTTTACAGATGTTTTACCGAACGACATGTTACAATATGACCTGTGGTTTTACTTTGAATGGCATGGTGACTTTATCGTAATTTTTCGACATTTTTGCACAGCATAGATTTTGTTGTCATCTCTTGTAATAATCGTGTTATATTTCTAAAATATTCCGAAGATATTGTGGTACATTTAAACAGTTTTGGGGTTATACTGGAATGATCATATGAGATGGTTTTTTTTTTAAAGCATAAGTACTTACGTCTTTGCTTCCTTCATTAATTAAACAAAGAAAAAACGATTTCCAGTTTCAAGTCCTTCACAGTTACGCACGAGTACAAATAATAACAGTGTAATATGAATTTACACTCTGGAGGGGGCTATTCCGCACCATGGGTTGATGGTTTATTATTGTGTATTTTTTTGTCACTGGAATATTATAGATCCATTGAAGTGCCGATTAAGTAGATTTTATTGTTGTTGTTTTTTAAAACTCAAGATTGAGTTAATTTTAACTACCTGGATTGTAGAATCTTTTATAATGCATCGAATCCTGTAATAACTTTTCGCTTTCCTAAAGAAAACATTTTTCCCCCCTCTTAAAGGCTATGTTTACATAGTCGATGGGTCCTACTGTTTGGCTTCACTATGTTATAGGTTGTAGATGAAGATAGAAATCCAGCCGTTCAACCATTAAATCACTCAACCTGTAAACTTTGCATCAAACTCATCTTTTTGTTTCACTGGGGGGAAAAATGTGATTATTCCTGTCTAAAACATGTAGATATTTACTTACTATGGAATATATTCAGGAAATATAAATATGAGTTTACGTCTATTATAATTCTGTAAAACAACCACGATCCCCTGTTGGCACAATAGTATGTGCAATGTACATATTACTAGCAATAGAAAAATAATGCCATTGAGGCTTCACTGTAAATAAGTTCTAAATGTAATTTCTTTGTCAAAATTTGGAGTTAAACCAGAATTAAATAAATGAATGCATTATTTCTGTTTGAAGTACGTAAAAGTTTTTCCGTAGCACTATTTGAACTGTTATTATGTTTTAGTGGGTAAAAACTACATTTAACTACTCCTGGGATTTTTGTTGTTCCATTAGGCACAAACGAGTTGTAAAAGTTTCCGTGGCACTGCTTAGAAAAAGGTCTGAATTTTTCTTGAATGTGAAGATACAAGTGTTTTGACAGGTTGTATGTATTCAGTTTAGTGTGATAAGTAAAGAGAATAATTGCCCAGACAAACAGTATTTTATGACTTTAGTGGAATGTGTAGACAGGGTTCGGATTAATTTGAAGTTTTTTAACCTGGAAAAAATTACTTTTACCATTTCTTTTTACCATTTCATCTATATTTGAGCTTTATAGTGTTAATCTAAAATAAATCAAATAAAATAAAACAAACAATTCGTAACTACAGCTGTTAGTTGGGTTCAAAGTATGTAATAAATTATTGGTAGGATGGTTGGTACTATAAATGGTACAAAACAGAAGATGTTATGCATAAAAGTAAAACATAAATAGTAACTGCAATCCATAGGTGTTCCCCCCCAGGTCATTTCATCTCGCAGTGGCAATAAAATATGCATTTAATGTTATAAATGTCTCTATATAAACCATCTGTTTAGCAATTATATGATATATTCCTGCATGATTAATTATTCCAACAAAAGCATCTCTTGCATTGATTCCTGGATTTGTAGGATTACAGTATTGTTGACTGCCATCTGGTGGCACAGTCACTGTAAGAGTCTGCAGAGCTGCAGTGAGTCTTTGTGCATTTTAGAGAAAGTGGAAGAAATGTCACTGGGTTTCTGAGGTCACTTGGGAAATCAAAAGGTTTTCAGATGGTAGATGAGCTAATATAGCAGCCAGCTTCAAACTAAAAGAACTGAAAGCTCCCAGAGCAGGATAAATTGGCGGAATTACACTACCCTGTGATTTTCTGTGATTTCAGAGACGGACTTAAGTACAACTCCTGTATCATATTAGCAGCACTCAGGAACAAGACAAAGTTGACTGGGGAGTTCTTATTCTACGGGGGGTACAGCTGTGTTGTTGTTTTTGTTACTGTCAACTGTGAGGCACAGAACTCCAGATGCCATGTGACAGAAGTCAGATGAGGTATTCATTGTGCTGTAGACCAGAAAAGTCAAGGTTGTCTCAACTGCAAGCTGCAGCACTTTCTGTAATACATAATAGCTGCCAGTAGAGTGCAATACTCACACAATGCGAGTCAAAGAGTCAATGACCACTAGTGGTTTTATTGCCCAACGTACATGCAGGGAAAGTAGAGAAAATGCAGGCTTTTCACCGTTACTGTGGATGAGCATAAAGGACAATCAAGCACTTTCACTGGTTTAATGTATTGGGATCAAAAAGTCATTCTGCTGCTTGCACTACTGATTGTGATCATCAAATGCTCAACCTCTGATTTAAGATCGCCTATAACACTGCAATATAATGCTGGAAAAGAGAAAAAACAAAACAAAACTTAAGTGCTTTAACACTAGAAAACCCAGAGTTTTACTTCCCTGCTACCATGCCCAGAGAACAGCCAAAAGGCTGCATGGCTTGAAATTAACATCCCGATGGCCCCCTTTCATTTGTAAATGCAGCCGTTACCTGCCAGACTGGGGCTCGTCAAGCTTACTCCTTTGGGGGAGGGGTATGACCTACAAGAGCCTGAGCACTCAAGATCCACTGTTCTGTTTCAGCCATCACATATAGGACTCTGTCACAAGTTCTCCTCAAATCGTTTTCTTTAATCAATATATCCGCTTTCATAACTGTTGATTCACATATCACAAGTGTGCACATACACATAGCTGGTAACCTAATGACCTGACTTAGAAGACATACGGTATGACATGACAAAAATTCAGAGTTTGTTTTTTCCTCCAATACAAAGTTTGACCCTCTGAAAGTCTGAATGCAAGAGTGTTGCATCACCAGTGTGCAAGTTGCCTAAATAAAGTTTACCTTCATCTACCTATTTTTATCTTTCATAGATGACAAACACAGTAAATCCTAGTGATAACAATAAAAATAAGAAAACAAATTTAAAAAGGATTGATACATAGATAATAGTACTGATACTGCAATAAAACTACTCTGGTAAAAGTAAAAGTACAAAAGTACTTCATCATGAATGTACCCGAGTAAAACAGTAAAAACGTGAAAACGGTCAATGATGTCATTTGACCTAAAAATGTAATTCAGTGAAATATTGGCTTTGGGGCAGCTATGGCTTTTTAAATAAATTTTATAAAAACAGAAATAGTAGCATTTCAATGCAGCTGCATCACTGAATGAGATAATTGGATAGTTACGTTATCAGCTGTTTGAGCATACGAAGGTTTGAGCTCTGATTCATGGGGACAAAAAAACACTAAAGCAAAGGCAGCTTTGATTTACACCTAACTTTAGAGCAGATCAGGTAAACAAATTAGGGAAAAAACTGAAAACAAAAACATGTGTGTGATCTAAAAAGTAAGTATCCCCTTTTTAAAATGTAAAAAGTAGAAAGTACATTTACTTGTGTTTCAAAGTAGTGAGTAACAGTAAAAATTCACCAGAAAGATAAATAGATTTTTTAGGTATCTTTACTTAAGTAGTGGAACTGAGTAAAAGTACTCGGTACGTGACACCTCTACTGGCTGTGCACAGCCTGGCCATCTCATTTACAGAACAATGGTGTCGTTCACACCTGAGTTAAGATGTTGCCTCAAAACTAATCCAGCCACTTGGCTGCTCTTTGGGCATGGAAGGTAGGAAAGCCAAATGGCTGGGCTTTGGGACTTCTAGTGTTAAGAGTAGAAATTTAGCTTGAATTTTTAAGACATACCTTCTAATCTGGCACAACACACACAAAAGCACTTCCTATCTATGACTATGCAGCATCTTCATGCTATTTGATAACTGTGTCCCTTTTTTCTCACTCTGCTATCTTGAGGGTATGCACAGAGCAAAGTCAGAGAATTGTTGCTCCTGATGGGCTGGTGGTGCAGGGACCCTTTCTAGCCCTAATAGAGCACCTCTATTTCAGGCTCCTCAATTAAGCCACTCTGTTCAGCCTGCTGACTGGCTGCTGTGGAGAATCAGTGTCCTCTGACTCGTTGTCCTGTGTCCTTGTCTTCTTTTTTACAAACAATAGGCAGTGCAAAGTTTTCAATTAAGTGTGGTTTGTTTCTTTGAAAAAAATAAGGGGTGCAGAGTTTAGTGTCTTAAAATTGTATTGCCAAAAAGGGATTTTCTGTTAGTAGAAGCTGGTGAAGCGTGACACTGGTACACACACACACAAACACACAAAAGGTTTTCTTGGCGTCATCAAGAATATCAAAAAGTGGTTTTGCAGAACGCCCAGGTGCACTACAAATTTGGAGTACTTTTACTTATCTGAAGTATTTCCATTTCATACCACTTTATAATTGTCCTCCATGCACTTTGCACTGAAATATTATAATATTCTCTACTCCCCTACATCTACTTGACAGCTACAATTGCGAGTTGTTTCGCAGATTAAACCTGCAGTCCAGAATTTTTGTCTACGCCATCTGACAGTAATAGTAATTACACAAATACTGTCAAGGCATGCTTTTGCCTATTTTAGACTGTATTCCTTCTTCTAAATGCTGAGTTTCTTTATTTAATCTGCAGCATCAGAAACTTTTCTTGGATGCTTGTTAGGTTTTTTTCTGCCACAACTGTGGTTGCTGCAGCCCACTCCATTTCCAATGATACAGTTGCTTCCCTCTTCAGCTCTGGCAAACCAAATATTACTGGTTGACTTAAAACACATCACTGCCAGTTTGTTGTCACAGACACCAGATTTAAAACTCCCGTATACTCATGTACAGTAATAGGCATCCTCAGCATTGTGTGAAGAATTTGGCAATGCCAGTAACAGAGGTTCATTTATATGTAAAAGTTCTACACTCTAGCTTTAAAACGTTATACACAAAAAACTTGAATAGTTTATAAAATGTGACATTATGTTACAATTAAACAGAATACAAAATATTGAAAATGAGCTCCACCTCATCCAGCAACAACATAAGCCTACTAAGTACATGGTAA